TTTTTTTTTTTTTTAAACTTATGCCAGTATTAAACCCAAGCATATATCATGTAATTCTTTTGGAACCTGTATCACACTTCCAAGTTCTCAATTTGGAAGCAATCTCACTAATTCTTTGCATCTCATATTTTATCCAATTTCTGTAATATCTCATCGACTTTTTCTTCCATTGTAGGATTCTTTGATAGCGAATCCCAGCACTACCTAAGATCTTCTTATACCTTCAATGATGGCTATGAATTTGATTGAAACTAATTTATATTTGTTCTTGGCGTTTGTGTAGCTCATGTTCAAAGTTTATTCATATACGGTAGCTTAGAGATTATGATGGGTAGATTTATATGCACTACTTTCATTTTCTTTATTTTGTTAATTGTTAATTGCATAGAGCATTTAAACATTTTTCTAGGGTACATCCAACATGAATATTTGTTTATGGAATTTATATGTTATGAAATTTGTTTGTGTGGTTGCGTTAGTTGTAAATTGTTGTTTTAGGCANTTTGTTTATGGAATTTATATGTTATGAAATTTGTTTGTGTGGTTGCGTTAGTTGTAAATTGTTGTTTTAGGCAAAATTGTGTAATAGTGAGATCTTTGGTAGCTTTTTTTTGGGTATGAAAATAAATTGTGTATACAGGTTGAAAATTTTTTAAGAACCCATTTTTTTGGAAAACTATTGCAATTTTTTTTAAAATATATTAAGGATTTAACTTTTTGTGCAATGAATTTCTAATTTTGGCTAATTGTTGTATTGTTTTTTGTTACTTAGCGCCTTTAGGCACAAGAACAAGAACAATTGAAACAATAATCTTGATTTTTTTCAATTTTGCTTAGATTTTGAACTTTTCTTATGGCAATTTTTATATGGGAGTTAATATGAAAATTAATTAAACATGTGCGTTTAGAATTGTAGGTTGGATTTGATATGTGCAGATTTATATGGATAAGTTGAACTTTATTCTATTGTTGATATTATTATATTGTTGCAATAGTTGATAAATAGTTTTGTTACGGTAGAATTGAGGCATTATATTGAATCCGATAATTGAATTGGGATGTATTTTTTTAAATTCATATGTTTCTTTATAGTAAGCAAATTTTTACTAATTATTGGACATTCGTTAAATTATGCACACAAATTGACATTGTTTTGTGTTATGTTTTAAAAGTAAATTCCATCAAAATTTTTTTTTATATAGATGGTGGGTGGCATTAACTAAAACAAAAAAAAATTACTACTTGAAATATTTGTATGCAATTAAAAATATTTGTATTATATGAGTAATGCTCGATTTTGTGTTGCTTATATATATATGAGGACANTTTGTATGCAACTAAAAATGTTTGTATTATATGAGTAATGCTCGATTTTGTGTTGCTTATATATATATGAGGACAAATATGTCAAAAGAAAAATACAAAAAGTTAAATTGTGTACTTGGACACAATTAAGTTTTAAAAATAAGTACTTAATGACCGAACATTAAGAGTTGTGTATTTTTTTTACATTTAATTTTAATTTTGTGTATTTTTTTACAATTAACCCTTTTGTATATGTGGAGCCTAAAGCCCACATTTTTTTGGATCTACTGTTGAGCCGGTCATGGCCTCGGGTTATATTCTCCCCCCTTAAACTCGAATGTTGGCTCCACCCTTGGATAAAAACTTATATTAAGACTAAAATATAATTCAACTCTATTAGGTCAAAAAATTACATCAGATTGAAATGGTCAAATCTTGTTACTATAGGTACATAGATATTTAATTGCTGAAATGGACATGGCACCCACTTGCACTTGATTAGCAAAAACTATATACCATCCATAAAATGAGACTGAAGTGAGCAAAATCTAAAACAGANAATGGACATGGCACCCACTTGCACTTGATTAGCAAAAACTATATACCATCCATAAAATGAGACTGAAGTGAGCAAAATCTAAAACAGAATTGCATTGACAGAGTTGCCAGCTATGTTTTTCCTGGTACATAGACCTATTAGCCCATTGTTGGATTGAGGGTACAAAGTAGTAGAGATAGAAGAGAAGAGGNGAATTGCATTGACAGAGTTGCCAGCTATGTTTTTCCTGGTACATAGACCTATTAGCCTATTGTTGGATTGAGGGTACATAGTAGTATTATGCTATAGTAGTAGAGACTAGAGATAGAAGAGAAGAGGACCATGTGAATACTGGCAATGACCACCCTAGACAATGCATGACTCTCTTTCATGGTTACTCCTGTTGTGTAGGTGAAACATGGATCATGAACTGGAGATAGAACCTCCACAGGTGACTACTCACTCGAAATCCATCCAGGAAAAACTTCAATTATGTCCCCATCGGCAACATTGTTCCATATGAACGATTTGTCTTCATCCATAGCTCTTTGTTTGTGGATGAAGAAGTATTCTGGTGGAACTACAAAGCCTCCTGGCCATGACAGTTTCTTGAACTCCGTTCGTGTTGAAGTATAAACTTGGTTTGGTTCAAAAAATGAAGCCCAAGAAAAATCAGTAGATGAAGCCCAATACAAGTCTAATACAAAAAGTCCAAAATATAAGATATTTTAGAAGGAGATGTACATAATTTCTAGAAGAGTTCTAGAATACTTAGATTCTAGAAGATGTCTAGAAAAGTCTTGAGAAATATTTTAGATATTTGTTTTATGTATTTATCACATTTGTAAAAATCTAGAACCTTCTATGAGTAGTATAAATATGGATGTGTTTTAAGTCATTTTGTATTATGCCCAAAAAAGTTTGTGTTCAAGTTTAATACAAAGTACTTCCCCACTCTTGTCTTAGTACTTGTCCTCTTCCAAAAAAAATCCTTCCAACATAAATAACCAAATAATCCTCCTCTTTCAATAGTACCTGTACATCATCGCTGGCCATCACTTCAAATTGTCTGGTCTTTCCATGTTGTCTCTTCACTGTTACCTTTAGTTTCTTCACTCTCGTCATCCTTGGTTTCTTGGGGTCTCTAGCCCATTCTCCTGATCGTGGTGCAACCGGAGGAGGTAGCAAGAATTCGAGAATTTTGACATCAATTTGAGGACTATGGAGTAACTATAGGCAATTGTCTAGAGTCTGTTCATTTTGTAATTCCATGGTATTGGAATAGAGTACCAATCGTCGAATAGGGACACTTTCTTTATCAGATATAAAATGTTTCAACCCTAAATTAAAGTGCCTGCATTGACCGTCATGGATGTCGGTGGTGGGTTCGAATCAGACATTTTTATAAACAGTCTGATCATTTTGGACGAAATATCACCAGGTTGGATAACAATACGAAGATTTTCAGTTGGTTGAAAGTGGCATCAAGATCATCAAGAATTTGTTGATACAGCAAAAACCAGTCAGGATCTTGCACTTCCACTCCATCCAAGGAGACTTCTTTTATTGGCTCAGACACCTTATGTTTCAATTTCAACCTATTGAGAGCGGCGTTGGTGGAGGGCCTGAACCTGAAGGCGTATTTTTCCAGGCATTGACATTCACATTCCAGATGGAGATTCAAAGTATTCTTCAATGTCAATGGGATGTTCAAGTTCAATAATCAGCTGAATGCACGAGCCATAGAACATTGCACAGTAACCCACGTCGGGATCGTNAAGTTCAATAATCAGCTGAATGCACGAGCCATAGAACATTGCACAGTAACCCACGTCAGGATCGCCTTCAAGTATCCTACGCTCGAAGACCAAAGTTTGTTTGGAGACGGGTATCATCAAAATTTATTGCAATGAAGAATGGGATCCCCTCATGGTTCAATGGTCAACTCCATTATGCACGAGCCATAGAACATTGCACAGTAACCCACGTCGGGATCGTCTTCAAGTATCCTACGCTCGAATACCAAAGTTTGTTTGGAGACGGGTATCATCAAAATTTATTGCAATGAAGAATGGGATCCCCCTATGGTTCAATGGTCAACTCCATTAAAGAATAATGGAAGAATTTAGGAAATACAAATGAGAATTGAGAAGAAAGTGAANTACCAAAGTTTGTTTGGAGACGGGTATCATCAAAATTTATTGCAATGAAGAATGGGACCCCCCTATGGTTCAATGGTCAACTCCATTAAAGAATAATGGAAGAATTTAGGAAATAAGAATGAGAATTGAGAAGAAAGTGAGGATTAAAATAAGTTCATAATGTAACTAATTTAACATTGAAGATTAGATCAAATCAAACCAAAATCTAAGATGAAAAGTATTAAACAAAATTCAGCTTATAATCCTAAGGAAGTTTATAAATTTCTGAATGAATATCATATCTACGTATTAGCCCACGAAGAAAATCTACACCCGTGTGTTTATTTTTTGGAATTTTTATTTAGTTGAAACAATAAATACAATAGCTAGAACTCATAGTCCAAATCTCTCTGACCATTAGGCCACCAATCACTGTTCATCGATCATCATCTCAATTACAATTGTTAATCTTACCTTGTGCTATGCTTATTTCTTCTATTGCCAGTGATAGGAAATGAACATGCTTTATTCTTGGACTTATATTCTTTTGTTCTCATATCAGAATATCATTGCTATTTTCAATTCAACCAAGCTGTACAAAATCAAGGCGAATAAGTTTGCTTTATGTAAAAGAAACATTCACTAATGGAGAATTGCAAGGATCTCATAAATCAATTCCACTTTATGCCAACTCCCGTTGATTGTTAATTGCACGGAGAGAGTTTTTTGATAAAATTTTAAACATTTCATTTCGCTCTAGTCATGTATACTTGTCACTTCACCATAGATTTTTTGTTTGATACTCAAGTGTATGTGTCTTTTATTTTCTCATTTGTACCACGAAAGAAATAGTAGGGTATTAGGCTAAAATTTATTGGTCAACTACTAACTGGACTTCATTAGCTGTTTGTTCTACTCCACTAATATGCATTCCACCTTCATGAAGCTTCTCAATAACCTCTTTTGTCATATTCTCCAAAAGTCAATAAATAATTTTTTTGCATGATTTATATAGATTTTTATGCATTATATATACGATGAATTCAAAATGTTAAACTGGACAATTTTTTTTTTCGGAAAAATCACTAATAAGTCATATTTTTCCTCTCACAAAACTACCAAGTCCTATCAATTTTTAGTAGTACAATCAAGCCATACTTTTAATAATTTTTTTCCCTTGAAGTCTTAAACTTTATCAATACTATGTTTGTTTCAATTTTATCCTTCTCATAAAAACATCGATTATATATTTTTAAAATAGTTTTGTAATTTAATTAAGAAACAATGTTGTAGGAAATATTGTATAACTTATAGAACAAATGCAACCAAAAACTTATAATGAAGAGTAGAAACATTGTCATAATCAACAATATGATTGATTTTTTCCAAAAATATACAAGAAAATATGATCTTTTCATGAAATAAAAATTGATCGTATACTCATCAGGAATAAAGTAAATGATGCTTTCGAATATTGGAATTAAAGGTAGAGTTGATAAAATTTAAGAGTTCATGACAACAAATTATCAAAAGTATGATATAATTATTTTAATAAAAAGTATGGCATGACCTACTGATTTTTGTGAGAAAAAAAGTATTTTTGGGGATTGAAGAAGTCTCCTTAGAATAGATACAAGTTAAACTTGAAAATTGGTTGAAACCAAGTTTAAAAAATAGTCCAAGTTTTTATAGAATCCAAGATTTTGGACATTTGGTACAAGCGTAATGCATCTTCACTCAGTAACTTAGATTATTAAATTTAATTAATTTTTTAAGTCACAATAGTATTACTCTTTTTCTTGTCGTAATTGACCACACTGCTATCAAATATCANGTTAAACTTGAAAATTGGTTGAAACCAAGTTTAAAAAATAGTCCAAGTTTTTATAGAATCCAATGAAAGATTTTGGACATTTGGTACAAGCGTATTGCATCTTCACTCAGTAACTTAGATCATTAAATTTAATTAATTTTTTAAGTCACGATAATATTACTCTTTTTCTTGTCGTAATAGACCACACTGCTATCAAGTATCGATTTGGGGCCATTTTGAAAATTTTTGCTTCTTAAAAATTTATTTTGATTTATGAATTGGTTGTGAAACTAATAAAGTAAAGTAAAGTAATAAATATAAAAAATTCACACGTTTCTTATTTTGATTTTATTTTATTTTGAGTGCTAAAAAATAAAAGATACAATATAAGAAATAATTATTTGGTATCGTAGATAGATCTATNTTGAAAATTTTTGCTTCTTAAAAATTTATTTTGATTTATGAATTGGTTGTGAAACTAATAAAGTAAAGTAAAATAATAAATATAAAAAATTCACACGTTTCTTATTTTGAGTGCTAAAAAATAAAAGATACAGTATAAGAAATAATTATTTGGTATCGGAGATAGATCTACTGTAATATACTTACAGAGTTATTCCGCTCTGGTATCCAAATTGGACATCCACGAAGGCCTGAAAATTGAACCAATAAAATATGATGGATCATGGAACTAACCAATTATACCTGAACCTTATTTTTTATTGTGTTTTATTTTTCACATTTTTTTACATGAGCTTATTCAAGGAAACATAATTGCGTTCTTGTGGGCTAATTCAAGGAAAACGATGGGACAAAATATCAAAATCATGACTTAAAAATCTAAACAACTGGAAATTATTCAACTAAATAAAATCATCACATGCAGTGCAAGAATATAACAAGCTTTCAAGGCATTGGTAAGAATCATAACAAGCTTTCAATGCTTCCATCAAAATGTGAAAAATTATTAATAACACCTTACAAAAAAAAATTAGAGTAACAGATCCGAGATTGACATTTTTTTTTGGCATGTGTATTTTTTTAAGTAAAATTCAAAACTTGAGAGAGGACCAACTGCTCATTAGATGAGGTTCCATCCAAATTCATGCATAGTGAATTTAGAATGTTAGGAACAAGACGGAGGTACCTAATACTTAAGACCATACCATAATTGAAATTCATATATTGAGATCATTTAATAATGGAACAAGAGGGAAGTACCTCATACAATTCCAGTGGTTTTCCTTTGAATTGCCTTCACGCTTCATTGCTCCTGTTATATGTCCTTGTCCAAGCAACATCTTTTCCCTTGATTGGATGTGGATTGGCTTCTAACTTGGGCTTCAGTGTATTTATAACCAAGAAATTATTGATGTCTAGACAGATAGAAAAAAGATAAACCCAACTACATATCAGAAAGACTATATAGAAAGAGAGATAGAGACTAATTAGGACCTCACAAAGTTTTGGGTGGATAATTGAGAAACTTTTAGGATCTTGCGAAAAAGAGATGTCACTTCCATTGCATAATCTTGATTGTTCAAGTTTTCAAGCTGTTGAGAAAATGATTAATATACCCAACATCCAGTTCAAACAAATTAAAATCCTAAAAAAAATACCAAACAAAACAGCACCACAAACCCTATGATACATACTTCCCTTTTATGTGCTTAACTCAAAACACAATGATTGTGTTTTGTGAANTCCTGTTATATGTCCTTGTCCAAGCAACATCTTTTCCCTTGATTGGATGTGGATTGGATTCTAAC